TGTTAAAAACAAGGTGACCCAGAGGATGATCACCTGTCTTCCTTCCTCCGGCAGCCAAGCCCTGGTACTCCACCTCTGAGCTGCCGTGCCCGAAAGGGCAAGTCCAAAATTAAAAATAAAACCAGTGTAGAATAAATGGGGATGGAGAGAAAAGATGAGGGAGGGAAGTGCTATATTTACACTAGCGTTTTATAGACAACTGTCCCATTCCATCCCCATTCCAACCCTGGCACATTGTGAGAGGTGGCAGGTCCAAGGGACAGATTGTGTCTAGGGACTCAGACAGCCTCTCACCCCCACCTGCAATGGGTCCCAGTTCAAGTCCACAAGGTGGGAAGGAAGAACAGAGTAACAACTCATCTCCAAATGAGTTTCCCTTGGGAATTCCTGCCTTGAAATGGGACAATACCCAAGCTTCAGGGGATGGGCTGAAGACCCCGAGGCTCAGTTCCCAAGCCACGTGGACATGTGGAAGTTCCAGCCTAGAGACAGTGATGTCAGGGCTCCCCAGATTTGGGAGGGCCCCCTAACCGCCGGGCCTCTGGCCGCAGTTCCTTGCACTTCTGGCAGTAAAAGAAGTCAGGGACGTTCGTCTTCTTTATCTTAGCACAGGAGAGGTGGATCCATGTTCCACAGAGGCTGCACTCAATCATGGGCCGCCCGGCAAAGGGCTTTCGGCAGTAACACGTGATCAGGTCCCACGAGTCATCACCTGGGCAAAGGAAGGTGGGTTTAGTTCTGTGCCTGAGCTGCTGCATCCACATCAGCCCCACACCCGTCACCCCCGCTGCCCCAGGGCAACCCCCAACTCCTCACCGGATTCCACCATGATGTCCTCATCCATGACTCGCATCTCCCCTTCACTGGAGCTGGCGTCTCCATCCTGGCTTGTCTCAGTGCTGCCTACCTCCTTGCTTTCACTGTCAGTGGGAGGGGCTCCTTCAGGGTGCGCGGGGACAGGGGGCCTAGGAGCCTCAGGGGGTGCTGGCAGCACAGGGGCTGGCGTGTCGCACCCTCCCATGGCTGTCATCTCTTCCTCCTCCTCCTCGTCCTCTTCCTCCTCCTCTTCTTCAGAGTCTGTATCACTGGGAGGTGCCCGGGGAGGCCCGGGGGGTGGGAGTCTATCCCCTCGCTCTGCTTTTTTCAACTTCCGCTTCTTGCTCTTCTTGATCCGCGACCGCTTCTCCCCATCCGCAGGGGCTGGCCGGGGCCTCCGAAGCACCCCGAAGCCAGCCCCCGCTCCGGGCCCCAACTTTCTGTTCTTTCGGTCCTTCTTTCGAGGAGGCTGGGAAAGGTCCCCCTGGGAAAGGGGCACCGGGGTGAGAGCAGCAGAGGGCCGGGAGGCATGTGTGAGGGCTGAGGGAGACAGTGGAGATGGCATTTTGGGCCCATCTAGATCAAAGAGAGAGTCCTTGAGCTTCATCTTCTCAAGCAGGGTGGCACTGTCGGGTGCCTGCAGACGAGAGAAAGTGGACCTCGGGGGTCCTGGCTGGGTGGGACCTGCTTGGGCGGCCCGTCTCTTGGATGACTTTGCCTTCTTAACAAAGGTCTGGATGGTTCGGAGATCTGAGGGGGCCGAGTCCCAGCCATCGCTGTCGGCCGCACTCTCACCTCGCAATGGAGAGCTGGAGCCCGAAGCTGGCCAGTCACTTTCCTTAAAAGAGGAACAAGACCAGGGTCAGCAGGGGGCCCAGTGTTACCTCACTCAGTTCCTCTACAAACCTAGCTTAAGGACTAAGGACGAATCTACCCCAAATACCCTGCCACAAACATCAAATCACCACTGGACTCAATGTATCCCCCCACCTCAATTCTCACTAGCATCTCCATATTACTTTTGCCCTTCAAGTTTAGCCATTTCCCCAATTCCCGCTGTCTTTGCAACATTGTATACCTCCAACAAGAACTTTATTGTCTAGCTTTCCATACGGCCTCAAAGGTGATCACTTAGTTTCTAAATATTTACCCAAAACACCTTCCATTAACAGAACACCAACACCATTCACTGCTGCTCCAGCCACCTATCTCTTAACCCCACCCCCACCCCAGATAGCTTTCCTACTAGAACTTCCAATGGCCCTAGTCTTACACATAGTTCCCGATGGGCTTCTTCTGTAAGTACAACTCCAGTTGCTCAACAGACCTCTACAGTGCCAAGCCACTACCCTCAGTCAGCTGACCTCCTGTTCCTACCTCTTTGCTGGGGGGGATGTAACCGGCATAGGCCAAGACAAAACTGCAGAATTTGTTGAAATCCTCAATTGTTCTCCGCCGTTTCTCCGGTGGCTGAAGGAAGGAAAGTTGCATCATGTGGAGTTTAAGAGGGGCATTTCCAAAGGCATATACCCAGGAATAAGGTAGGAGGGAGGGAAGGAGAGGGGGAGAGGGAGGGGAGAAGAGGGTTGGAGAGGAACACTGGGCTGCAAAGGTAAGGGAAACCTTACCTGAGTCTCTGGCTTAAGGGTCGGAGGTGGATCTGTGAAAGCAATAAAAGCTGAGTCAAAGGACTAGGAAAGAGTCTGGGCAAAAATCCCACCTCTACATCTTGGGGATCCCAAGCGAACCTCCAGCTCGCCCAGGTCCCTAAGCCTGGGCCCGCAAGCCCCTGCGGAGCCCGCTCCGCCCCTGTTGCCCCGCCCGCCCCGCGCGGGGCGGAGCCTGGGCGCGGCGCCCTCCCGGGCCTCGGTATAGCGCTCCCCTTCCCCTTCCCCCCGCCGGGCCTGCGCTCCGCCCCCCCGCAGCCCCCCCGCCCCCCCCCCCCCGGTCTCTCCCTCCGAGTCCACTCCGCTCCCCGGCGCCCCGCCCGCCACACCGCTCCGGGGCCGAGCGGGCTGCGGCGGCCCGATCCTCCGCAGGCGGGGGCCCCGGGGCCGAGCTGCCGCCGGGCCGCGCTCTCCGCCCCGGCCCTCCGGGCCGAGCACGCCGCCCGCCGGGCCCGGAGGACCGCGCCGCGCAGCCCTCCGCCCCCCGGGCGCTGGGCGAGCACGAGGCCGGCGCGCCCCTCACCCCGCCGCTCACCCCGGCGCCGCTCCGCGTCCGGGACGGGCCGGGGCGTTCTCTCCCGGACGCGGCCCCACCTGCCCCCACACACCGCGCTCCCCACAATGTCGCGGTCCCTCCGCCCCCATCCGGGGCTTTGGCCCCTCCCCGCCGCGAGCAGCTCGGGCTCCCCGCCGGGCCCCCGGGCCCGGTGCGGAGCTCCCTCCGGCCGCCGCCTCCCCCACCCCGTACCCGCCACCGAGTCCCCGGGCTCCGGACCCCGAACTCCGGCCCCCGCCCCTCTCCTCTCCCCTCACAGCGGCCCCGCTGCGCCCTCGCCCTCGCCCTGCGCAACTCCGAGCCTTTCCCCCGCGCCGCCCAAGTCCCCGCTCCCCGCACAACTCGCCGGCCTGGGTCCCGCACCCCACCCGCCCGCCGCCCGCAACTCCTCGCCTCCCCGCGCCCCGGCGGCTCCCCGGCTCCGGTCCCCCCTGCCGCAGACAATACCAGACTCCGCACAACTCTTCCCTCCCTCCGGCCAGCACCGGCCACCCCGGCGGCAACTGCCGGGAGCTCGGCGCCGCCGCCAAACTCCACCGCGGGGAACTACCGGCCCCGCACTCAGCCCTTCGCCTCCCCTCAACTCTCCGGCCCGACCCCGGCCGCCCAGCCCCACGGCTCCCACTCGCCGGAGGCCCTTTCGGCCCCTACCCCAGGCTGCTTTCCAGCTCCCACTCCCGCCACCCCCCAGCACACAGCATCTGGTCTCCAACTACCCCGGCACAGCCTCCCACTCCGGCTTCCCCAAGGTCTCCCAACTCGCCGCCCGCCACCTCCAGGGGCAGCCCCCGAGCCCCTCCCCGCCTCCCTCGCTGGCTCCGGGCTCGACCTCCAAGTTTGCCAATTGATCCCTTGTCCGCCCCCCTCCGGCTCAGTGCTCGGTGCCGGTCGAGAGCTTACCTTCGGGACTGGGCTCCGCCATGGCTTCCAGCATCGCCCCCTCCCCTCCTCCCGGTCCGGCGGCCCCCTCCCGAGCCGGGGATCCCGGTGCCGCCTCCGGTGCTCGGTGTTCCCGCTGCCTCGCTCCACAGAGGCGTCTGCCTGGCCCCGGTGGTGACTCGAGTCCGCTAGCCGCTGCCGCCACCTCCCTCTACCACTGCCTCCCGCACTCCCGGACCGAGCCCCCTCCCCCCGCGCCGCCGGCCGCCTGCTCCCTCCTCCTCCTCCTCCTCCTCCTCTCCACTCCCTCCTCCCTCCCTTCGCGGGCGCCGGCGCGCAATGCATCTAGGGGCTTGTAGTCCATCTGGGTGCAGCGGGAAGGGGACAGCATGAGTCTTGGGAACTTCAGTTCCCAACAAGCTACGGTTTCGCGCCGGCGCACTAAGCCGCTCCCCTCCCCCTGGGAGTGGCGGGGAGATTTGTAGCAGAGGGTAAAGAACGGAAACGGGCGCACAGGCTCCTGGGAAATGTAGGCTGGGCGGGACTAAATGAGAAGGGGAAAGAAGGGATTAGAACTCTCGGCCACCATACTGCCTCACTCTGCAGTTTCTTTCTCCCTTGGGGGACCGCCCCACTTCCGGCCAGAGAAGTGGTTGCTGGGAGGTGAAGTTCTTGTAGTAATAATAGACCCCTCCTCCTAGCCTTCTCCCTTCTTTGGATTCACTCCACTAAATCCCACATGTCCGCACAAAGTCTGGGCAAGTGATAAAATCTCTTCCTTAATCCAAAAGGAACAAACTTGGATGTATTTATCTAAAGCAGGTACTTTCAAACTTTCCCCACAGGAATCCACCGTAAAAATGTTACATCAGGACCCAATACACAGGTATATACAACTGAAGTTTCAAGAAACAATACTCAGGATATCCCATCCATCACAACAAAAAGCACCCTTTTATGCACAAGGAAAAGCCCGATATCAATAGAATAAGCCAAAATATATTACTATCCCCCCAATCTCATCTTTTCCCACCAACCACTAAAAAGCAATGGAGAATGTAGCAACACAAAGCAAAATCCAGTTCAGCTTGGTGGTTTCCTCTTTATTGATGTGCCTCTTACCTCCCCCCCCCCCCCACAATTTCATCCCCTTCCATCTACCCCACAAGAAGACAGTGAAAGGGAACCAGTATTGGGGTTCTGAGCTCCATGGGCAGTTAGAAAAGGTACAGAAACCAAAACAATCACTGGATGTGACAGAGACTGACAATCAAGAAGTCTAAAGCAGAGTGGGAAAGGTGGTAGAAAGGAGAAGGCAGGAGAAAGGAGAGGTACCAGAGGCCATCACCCCCATTAACCCCCCTGCTGGAGGTTCTGGAGAAGAGCCTCAAACATTAGGAAGTACAGGTCCTGAAGGAAGAAGTCAGGGAAGGGGGGGCCATCTCTCTCTATGTAGAATGGGACCCCCCCACCGCAGGCGCAGCAGCTTCACAGGCCATAGACACTTTCGTCACTGTAGGCAATGTATAGAAAGAAGTCTTCCTCATGGTGTTCCTGGGGTGAAAGCAGAAAATAATGGTGCTCAGGCATCTGGCCTTTAGTTACCTGAACCACCCAACACCCAAACACATTCTTCAAAAACCATTTTTTTGAAGACCCTCAAAACCAGTGCCTTAATTCTCTCCCTCATTTGTTCCAGGACCTCTCAGCCTAAAAGGATTATCTCTAGCAGCAGCCCTGGGGGAAAAAACCCCCCACAACCCTCAAACTGCTCTCTGCTGCCTTGGAAGACGAGGGTGGGGGAGGGTCCATATCAGAACAGTTGCCCCAGCACACTGTTCTCTCCCTTCTGTCTACTCCCACTGTCCTGTCCAAACCTCCAACCCAGGTTTACCCAGTGAATCCAAGAACTGACCTAAATAAAACTTTCTTCCCCTCAAGCTCTTCCAACTCCTCTCCAAAACCACCACTACGTCCCAATCGCCATACCTGGTATAGCTGACCCATCGTGGCACTGGTGGGTGGAATGACATTGTTGACAAAGAAAAACAAGGCATCCTCAGCTCGGAGGTGAATTCGCTTCCGGATCAAGAAATAGAACTGCCCAACTGCCCAAAATATAAGATGTGATAAAGTCACAGATATCACAAATGCCTCCAAAAGAACAGCTGCTATGTGGAGTCTCCTCCCACATGTAGCAAAACCTGGGTATTGTGATAAGGTTCCCACCTGTGAGATCAGAAGGCACCAGGTATTTCTTTTTGTCCAAGTCCCCTATCCGAGCTTTGGGAGCCTTTTCTACTATCACCTGATAAAGGGAAGATGAAAATGAGAAGACATTAGATATTACAACTCCCAGCTCCACCTGCCAGGAACCCAAGCAACAATATTCCTAAGCACCCAAACACCCCAGACTCATTTCTTTGTCTCTGACCACGTGATGCAGCTCTGAGTAGAGACCTGGGACCCCACTGACTCAACCCTCTCAACCACGCAGGGCCCTGAATGGAGGGCGTCATAATAAACAACTAGCTTAACCCCACGGGATGACTTGTCTGGGCGGCTGTAGTTTCAATCTCAAAGCCTAGGTAGCTGGGGTAATTACCATGTGACATTCAGACTGTCAAACTCCCTATAGCCTCCGACCCAAATTCCAAGGTCTAGCTCCCCCATCTACACCCGAGCCCCCAGCTACCACCACTGCCCCTCCTTTCACCTCCAGCCCCAGAGAGCGGTTTCAGGGTCGCTTCCAACCCCACCGCAGCCAGTAAGCAGCCTGATGGCCGCACTGCCCGTCCGGACCCAAGCCTAGGCTGTGGCGTCAGTACCAGCGCCCCGCGCCCTCGGCCCAGGCTGCCGTCCTCACCGGGACCCGGTCCGGGTATTTCTTTCTGATCTTCTCGCCCTCAGAACGGCGCTTCTCGAACGGATGCTCCTCCTTATACACGAACTTCATCCTCCCGGGAACCGGGCTGGACCGGACTGGGCTGAGGAAACCCAGGGAGGGGGGGGCCCGGACGGGGGGCGGCGGCGGCGACGGTGGCGACGCGCAGGCGGATTCAGCGGAGCGATCCCAAGACTTGCGCCACTTCCCTATTCGCCAACCCGCCCCCGCCCATCTGGGGCCGCCCTGCGTGCTACGTACGCCACTAGCGCAGCAGCTCCAACGCGGACCACTTAGCACCGCCTACTGACCGCACCCCCACGCCGCCAGCGTAATCACTTCGGAATCAATTTGTGGGCTACAGGGGCGACGTAGCAAATTTGGGTGATTGGTCTTCCCTACCTTCAAAAAGAACGGAAAACCCATTTCCTGACCTTCCCCACGAAGCTGGGAAAGAAGGTAGGAGATAGTAACCATAATTGGAGACTCGGTCCCCCCCCAATTCTCTCCGGACATAACGTAGAGGAAAGCGGAGATAACTTACAAGGACAGCTATTCACGAATAGTTGTTGGTACGCAAAAGGCGGCCGTTGACACCAAAACAAAGTAGTTCCCCAGGGGAGAAGGGGGGTCTTCCGAAATAGAGGGCAGAAACTAATATATGTTTACAGAGACGCACAGAACGCTTAGGTTTCAGGAGGGTGGACCAATAGCGACTGGAGAGTAGGCTTGAAAGGTGGGGACTACGTCAGCGCGGAAGAACACTCAGACTCGTAGCAACGCAATCATGTGACCGGAGGGAAGGGTGGAACGTCACGTGGCGAATGCGAAAAGTAGAGCCGGCTGCAGGAGGGCAGAGGGAGGCCGAGCCGAAACTGCTGGAGCGGGATCCCAGAGGCTGGTCGGTGTATCCGGGGAGGGCAGAGGGCCGAGGGCGCCGCGCCCAGGGACAGGCCGCTGAGCTTACCTAGCCAGCCCCCAGCCCGGCCTTTCTCCAGCTATACGCATTTTCTGGCATCTAGGTTTCTCCTTTCATACCCCTGTGTCCTTCCGCTCTGAAGCTCAAGTTCCGAGGACACACAGCTGTCCTTTTCTCCCAGCCAGGACGCCCATCTCGCCGCTTAGCCGCTTCCCACCAAAGCGTGGGAGGTATATGTTCACCACTCCATCCTCGCCAAGCCAACACCACCTTTCCCCCTAACCCTAGGACCAGCAGCAGTCTCTCCCCTCTGCCTTTCATGTCCCCAAACCCCAGAGAAGGACCTGGGGCAGCTTTGGTTTCAAAGTTATAATGCATGGTTTAAAAGAAGGGGGAGGGTGGGGGAGAAACAGAGAGAAAGCTGGTTACAGGTCTGAGGAAATCTAAGAAAGGGAAATGTAGAGAAAAGGAGGGGAGGGGACAAGTTTGGAGGAAATCCAGTGGCCCAAGTCCATTTCCCACCCACAACCCAGCCCTTGGAGTGAAGAATTAGATCAGTTTTGTACAAGAGTTTTTTAAAAAATTAAATCACAACAAAGCTGGCTTGGCTTCTCTCCGAGCCTCCCGGATTATTGAATGTCTGTCTGTCTCTCTGGCCAGTCCTCTCTCAGTCACAAGACAGTGTTTCGGCTCTCCTAGACCTCTGCGTATGTCCCAGGCGGGTTTCCAGGGAGTGCGAGCACGAAGTTTGAGAGAGGCTGCTTCAGAGTCTGGCCCGTGTGTCCATCCAGGTTCCATACGGAGTGCAGGGCTCCCAGGGCAGAGAGGGGAGGGAGGGGCAGACCCTGCCCAGGCAGTCCTCACCGTTGGACAGGGCGTCAGACAGCATCTCGAGGGCTCACCCTCCTTTTCCCCCCCACCCCAACTCAGGTGGAGGGGGAGCAGCTGTCACCAGAGCCTGTGTTGGTGAAGGTTTCGGCTTAGCACAGAGCGGACATCAGCGGTGAACCTGGGGTGACAATAACTTGCATTGGTAGAGTCCTTCCAGTGACAGGCAGCCTCACTGGAGAGGTGGGGCAGTCACCGTTTCACATAATGAGAGTGAGGTTCAGTCTGCTCAAAACACTAGGGCTAAAAATGGTCAGCTTTAATATAAGATTTCCATTCAACTGCTAAATGCTTAAGGGAAGAGAGATAGATAAAAGAGGACAAACTTTTAATCCCTCTCGGGATTCCCCACCTCTTCTTTCCCACTGAAGGTAAATGTCTAGTTTTCCTTACCTGAGGGCATCCAGCATCGGGAGCAGATTGAGAAGCGCGGTGTCGCTGGGGTCGCTGAACCAGGACTTGATGGGGATGGCATTGTCTGAGAGTGGAGAAGTCACAGAAGAATCAATGGATTCAAGAGGGACAAGGTGTTTTTTCTTTTGTTTGGGAGTAGAAATCATTACTTTAAAATACATGTATTCACCTCACCACCAGTCACCTACCCAAATCAATCACCTAAGAAAAACCTTCCCGATTTGTACTCCAAAATAAATTAACCGTAATCACTGTATCGTATACTAGTATGAGGCTTCTAGTCACACCTACCGCCATCATATGACATATATCTGCTATGAGGAATCTGATTTACAGAACAGACATGCGAGGGAGGGGGAAAATCTCATTTAAGAGAGAAACAATTTGCATCTTGGCCGACAATAAAGTAAGGCACCCCAGCTCCACGCATTCAAAATACTTCCTCAGAGCCACTTCCTGGACCTTCACACTCACCCCATTGCCCCATACCTGGATGGCTCCTGTAAGCCCCTGGGGAGTTATCCAAGATCACAATGCTGGAGAGGTCACTGTGGACCACAGAGAGGTCCTTGATGTAGCTGCCCAATTCCAAAGTGCAATGCTACAAGGCAGGGTGAGTTTGGTATCAAAAGGAGACTCGATCCTCTGTAATTGCTCCCCCAACCCCAACGCCTGGGCAGCCAAACTCCCACAAAGGGGATCATGCAGTAAGCCTCCCTCACATCCCCAGGTCTCACTGCAAGGCAACTGCCTCAAACTCAAATCCCTGTCTGGTGACCTGCCTCCGGAGTTTGCTTAGACGTGGATTCTAGCCCCTTACCTGTCTGTAGTATCTCCTCTTAAGAATGCTTCTGCTATTGTCTAGTTTGTCTGCCACAGCAGAGCCATAAATCTCCATGCTTGCTGTGAATACTACCAGCTCGTACCACTGGCTCACCTGAAATAGATAGGGGAAGGAGGAGGTATCAGAAGAGCTGATCATTCGTTTAGACATGTAGTGCCCTTTCACTGGGGCTATCGAATGTCTCTGAGGACACAAAATTCTGAGTGCCCCCAAACTCAGGGTCTTAGGCACCATACACCCTTAACTAAGATTCAAAGATGCAAGGACAGAAGAGCAGGAAGCCTGTGGAAGAACAGAATTATACCCGAACAAATGAACCCAAACTACCAAAAGCCATTCTTCAACCATACCACAACCTCCCACCCACAAATTGCCCCTAGCCATTTCTCCTCACCCCTACTTCCTCCAAACCTTCTCAATCACCAGAGCCCTAAAGCCATTCCTTCATCACAGAGCTCCCTTTGGCTTCTGCAAACTCACCACTTCTAAGAAGAAATCCACATGGGGCCTCTTATGTACAAAAAACCGGACAGGATGTTTGTCTATTACCACCTGTAGAGGAACAGGGAAGGACTGGGGGAGGTCCTGAGCACCACAGCACTGCCTGGAGACACCCCCACCCTCCCTGCCTGCTCCCCTTCTTCAGGCTGGCACTGGTGCCAGGGGATGGAGACAACACATTGTGGGGCTGGGAAAGGTCTAAGTAGAACAGACATAACCATTCCATCACTTCCCACAGCACACACCTTGAGGATGAAGTCAGGAGGTGTTCCAGGTCGGACTGTGGGCCTCAGAACCCCATCATGATGGGAGTGAATAAGTGTCTCATCCAGATCCAGCACCAGAATCTTCCTCTTCACCTGGCCTGAACAGGAGAAAACACCAACCAACTTCCAGCCCAGACCCCGAACCCTGCCTCACCTTAAAGGATCTTCCCGGCTAGCAAACTCACCTAGCCGATTCCGGGACACCGGAGATAAGGGGAGGATATCATATCGAACAGTTTGGTACTGAATTACCTGAGAACAAAAGAGGATTAGAATCCTTGACAAGGAAATCTTCCTCAGTAACAACAGGTAGCACGTGTTGAACATTTACGGTGTGTTGGGCACTGTGTAAATGAACTTAAGATGTCTTTATTTATTTCTCAAAACAATAATATTCTTGTTTTAAGAATAAACTGAAGCTTGAAGAGATTGAAAACATTGCCTAAGGCCACACAGCTAGGAATTATATTATTTAGCTGTTTGATCCAATTAGAATGAAAATAGCTCCATGAAAACATGGATTTTGCCTCCATCACGCTGTATTCCTAGAACACTGTAGCAAGGGGTGGACAGTGGACAGTTAATACTAGAATGGATAAAGTGGTGGAGTCAGGATTGTACCCATGCAGGCCGATACAAGAACCTGCTCTCTTAACTCTGATACCCCTTGCTACTTTGAACAAAGAAGTCACAGCTCTCCCCACGTCCACCCCAGGGATTCTTTGTGACAACTCCCTTCAGCCTCGGATTCCTCAGTGGACACAGAGTAGGAGTCAAGAAGGGAGGTCCTTGGGCTCCTAGGGGGAACAGAGGATGAGGGAACCCAGGGGTTGTCAGGTCAGCTAAGTTCCTCTGGCTAGGGGCCACCAGGCCTATTTTAACCAGCCACCTGTCCATTTCTGTCTCTATGAGCCAAGTCACAAGTTGCAAAGAACCTAAGCCCTCAGAACAGCCTCCTTTTCCTGGTACCCAGGGCAAAGCAGAGGACATTGGAAAGCCCCACCCGCCAAGCCAACTGACAGGGCGTGGAGAAAGCCAGAGTGAAGTAAGGGCTATGAGTAAGAGGTGAGGATGGGACAAGGGCATCCCTAGCTCAGCCTTCTAGTTCCTCCAAACCTTTCCTTAAGGCTCTTACTTCTAACACTTACTCTCCCCCATGCAAAGCCTGGCAGTTCCCTCCTCTGCCCTTTTCTTCTAAGGCACAGACAAATGCTCTTCAGACCAACCGCAGGCCCCGGGCTCACCAGAACCAGGGTCCCCTTGCAAACCAAAGAGCCCTCACCCCTAATCCCAAGGCATCTGCCCTTCTTTTCTCCCTGGGCCACCATGAGGCTGAAGCAGCTCGGGTGTCCTGCCTGCTATCTCGGGTTGC